AACTAACTATTGATGCTATGTAACAAGCTGTTACAGTCGTTAATTAGGATAACGTCATCTATATTTGATAAAATAATCGATGTGTCGTCCGCGTATAAAGTAAAGTGTGCTCTGGGGAAGGACTGCTCAAGAGTATTTACATATAATGCAAACAGAACAGGCCCCAACACAGATCCTTGTGGAATGCCATCATCCATATTTATCGCAATAGAAATGACTTGTATTAGTTGTCCTCAGCAGTTATGAGTTATTGTCACATACCGCGATCTGTTTTCTAAGAAGGATTTTATCCAGAGGTGGGCTGGTCCACCGATTCTATATGTTGCCAGTTTTACCAATAACAGATCATGGTTGACACAGTCGAATGCCCTGCTTAGATCACAGAAGATACCAACAGGGCATTCTCCTGCCTCAATGTACCGAACTAGCGTATTGAAGAAAGAATGAGATGCTGTTAGTGTTAACCTACCGTTGCGGAAACCATGTTGGTTGGATGTTAGTACCTCATTTCTTTCAAGGAACAGCGTCAACCGACTCAAGAAGCAGTATTCGAAAATTTTGGAAAAACAACAGGGAGACGTCACCGGTCTGTAGTTTTTTGCGTTAATAGTTTCTCCCGTCTTGTGTATGGGAGTTACTTTTCCCATTTTTAAGCTATCTGGAAAAGAGCCACTACAGAAAGAGAGATTGATCAGAAAAACAAAGGGCCTAACAATATATACCAAAACGTTCTTAACCAGGAAATTAGGAATTTCGTCAGCACCTGATGAACGCTTGTTTTTTATCCTTTTGTCGATCAGATTAAAGTATTCTTCTTCCGTAAATGGGTATAGTTGCATGTGTTCCCTAACCGCATCGTTGTAGTTAGGAACTGTGTCATTATTTCTGGATGTTTTCTCTATAATTTCTAGAGGAGCATCTTTAAAGTATTTGTTAAAGTGATCGGGTATTTCTTGAGGATCAGTAATAGTTTGCCCATTTTCGTCCAGTACAAAGTTTTTTGTTGTTTTATTTTTTCCAGTCAGTTCACCTACTACATTCCAGGCAGATTTAACTGTATTATGTGAGCTCAAAATAGTTTTTTGGTAAAAGGCCATTTTTGTTTCCTTAATCAGTCTTTGATGCTGTTTTCTGGCCTCCAGATATTTATGCTTATTTTCGGGAAAAATCTTTGCCAGTACATGCTGTTCCCGCAAATGTGTCCTAGATCTTTTAACCTCTTCACTCGCCCATACCTTTTTATTGTTTATGATTGCTCCTATTTTTGTCGGAAGATGTTTTTGGAAGTGGTAATCGAACACTTGTAAGAAATAATTGCATGCGCTGTTGATATCCGACAGATTATACAATGTGAACCAGTTTTCATTTCTTAGGTCTAGTGCAAAATTTTTTATGGAGTGGGAGTTAAAAGCCTTCTTTAGCGTGTATGTTGTCCTATTACTACCTGCCGTATGTTCTATCATTTCCAAGAGTACTGTCCTGTGATCCGATATAACATTGTCCACTACACAGTTCAAACATCTATCACCGAAATTAGTAAAAACCTGGTCAATCGTTGTGACAGAAGTCTTACCAACTCTGACATACACACACATGTTTCAAGTTTTAGCTGTTTCATATTTCGTGGCGTACACTTTTTCGATGCCTCCGCGCAACAGACGGTCTGCAGCACCGAGTGCACACAAACTCGCTCAGCTACCTGAATACATTCGCTCAGTTACAGCTTGTCCAGGTGCATCTGCTCTGCCATGTGCTAACAGCAGACATCACGAGTTGGCTCGATATTTTTAGGAGAACACATTAATTTACGATTCATTCGTGAACAGTTGCATCGAGAATGTATGGAATCTTAAGGACAAAGCTCCACCTATATCCCTAGAATGCAAAGTAACATCAAATTATCTCGCAAAGTTAAACTTTCATAACCGTCTCCTGAAACTTTGCTGTTTCTCCTGAGGAGGACGTAGCCAAGCGGGTACCTCCGGACAAACTGTAGTTAAGCGGTTTAATAACGGCTCGTCATAGGCGAGCAATGTATCCTGGCAGCGCGTAGCTGATCAAGTTTGAGTGCACTCGGTGGCGCATGCCTTCTGCTACGCGGAGGTATCGTTTTAATAAAAAAATTGTTCGAAAGCTGGCGTTTTTTTTATTAAATTGGACATACCGTCGTCGCATGCATTAATAATGTTTCAAAAGTCACCTGAATAAGCCTGTCCAAAGGCCTATAAAAATATTTTGCCTGAGCTAAAAAAATCAAGTCAATCAGTATATTTTATACATATCAGAAAAGTATTCTTTTTACATGTGGTCTACTCGTCCTTGAACAACTAAACAAACCACGTAACACTCTCGCAACGGTCGATTCTGGTAATAGATGGCGCTTAGAGCTGCGTTATTTCGATATATCTCACACCTCGGGCGGAGGATAGTTGCTATACTTTCATTGTCCACTTGAGACCAATTCTACACCATGCTAATGAGTTGTCAAAAAGCACGAAACAGCTGCTCAAGGTTAGCTATCCGTGGTTGGGTCGGACGGACGAGGACGCATGTTTGTAAGAGAGTTATAACAAAGTTTTTGTAGTTTTCTTTTTGAGCCTCGTTTTCCAATATGCCGGCTCTAGGGTAAAATATGCAATGTAGAAAAGTGAACATTCGGATCCTGATGTGACAAAAAAGCCTTTACAAGAAAAGTACGGCTCAGAATCCCTGCAACATTTTATCAGCGTATACTTTCATGATAGCAAATAAGTTTACAAGTTTTTATCAAAATTCAATAAATAATAATTCTGGGTGTTGTATTTTATATGTCACTTAGTATATATGTGGTGTATATATGATTAAAAGACAAAACAAAGCTTCCACTACTGGATTGAGTCTCACTTTGAAGGTATTTTCATACTCTACAACTTTAAAGCAATGTTTACCAACAGTTCATTAGTCTTCAAGAATATGGGAAAAAAGTAACTTGCAGAACTTGTTATCTCCTTTAGCAGCTAAGCTGAAGAGAATTAACATGGATATAGATAAGGTACGCCCAATAAACTTCGCGTTCGGCGTTGAAACTCAAAATAGGATCACCGAAATATAAACAAACAGGACGCTCGGCAAGCTGCATTATTCCTCGGGAGACATACTTTGGACCTTCAAAAGAAAAAAGTAGGACCGCTCGGCGTGCTTTCTCTTGCCTTTGTGTTGCACTTCTCTTTTTCATATCACTTCCTGTCCTCCTTTTTCATGGGAGGCTTTCCGACACCCTATGTCAGTCTCAATAGTCGGAGACAGAAGTCACAGCATTTCATAAATGACTATGAGCAGTTAGAATGTAGTATGCCGTTGCCCTCATATATGACGTCTCGCTTGCCAGGGAAGCCTTTCTCAAGTGCAATGACAATTAATGACAGTTTGTATTTACTGTTGTTATTTTACGTAGGGCACGACCTAAGTCATGTGGTATGACAACTAAATGCTACTGCTACAATGCTAATTATATTATTATTTTTATAAAGTACTCGTTTTGGTTAGTATAAGTATGAACTGTAAGCACTCAGCTGTTGATAAAGAGAAATTTCAGTTACTTTAAGAGTTCCTATGGATTTGTTCGCAAATGTTGGTTAACGTAAAAAATGCTGAAATAGCTCAATCTGGAGAGCATGTTATGCGATCATTACAGGTGAGGGGCATTGGCTATATCTTTTGATATTCCAACCAAAGAACAATGCCAATACTGTGTTTTAGAAAATAAAGATTACTTGATTCAAATAAAAAAGACGCAGTCTGATGAAAAAAGTTGAAATTGAGTTTAGATGCATTGTGCTATGTAGATAGGAGACTGTTACAGCCAAATAGTCCAGAGAATATAGCTTTCTGCAGCTCTGAAACCAAAACGCTTATATAGTTCATTCAACGATACAACTCTTGATGTTAGCAAATTTTTCTCTTCAGTTCGTACAAATATATTTGCTGAAGGCGCAACACCGTAAAAAGGCAATAACAGTTTCTAATGATTGTTTCAAACGCAGCAAATCGAAACTAAATCGCTCGTTTTCAGCAGGATGCAGTGAAATATTAATGTATCTTGACTGGACTCTAAATAAGTCGTCTCCGCAAAGCATCTGCCTCGTCCCTGCGATCCCCGTAGTCAGGGGTAGAATTAAATGAAAAGTTTCTTCAAATGTTTCAGGGCCATACTTTCTCATCTCCAGTTTTTTAAGCAAATTTTTAAAAGATCTTTAAGGCCTTTGCATGACACTATTGAACATATAGTAGAAAATATAAGCAAATATGTATCGGGTGGTTCAATAATAAACGACGCCGGCTGTATTTCAACAACCGTTCAACCTGGAGCTCTCGGTTAAAATATTGTATGACGAAAGTGCCCAAGATAAATAGCTGGAAATTATCTTTATCTTCCCGAGAGGTACCGCCTTCCAATTTCAACAGTTCAAACGCCATTAATTTCAAAAGTACATCATTAACATACTCAAATAGCCTTACAGTGTTGCCGGCTCAATTTACTAACCTTTTTGTATACATGATTTTTTCATATTTTGGTTAATTTATGGCGGGGGAAGAGCTGTATATCGTTGCAGAAAAAGTCAAGTAAAACGCTGACACATCCACGCTGCGACATCTAGCGGCTACAATCTGAACTATCTCGACAGTACCCTAAATTAACCAAAATAAAAGTAAATGACATGGACAAAGAAGTGCGATCTTTGCGAGTATTCAATCACTGAATGAATTTTCAAAACTGGAGTCCCGCCACCTTTCGATCATTCTAGAAAGGCGAGAATAGTGTGCAATTCCTCTTGGCCGAGATACAGTCGGCATCTTTTATTATTGGCGCACCCGGGACAATATCCATGGCGCAAGTCGACCAGTCTATATAAATCCGCCTTTTTGTAACCTTCCCAGCATTCCAATACTGCACAAACTCAAAGAGGATTCGCAGCCTTGCATTATTTATCGCTACTTTTATTCTACGGTTTTTTTTTCAGGCGATTTTTCCCATGTCCTCGCAGATGATACGTAAAAAATGTTCTGCTGCACCTTTCTGGCGCTGTGAATCTGAGAGAAAAAAAAACAATACTTTAAATATGCAAATGAGATACAGTCTGTCTTGTGCCATCATCGCTACCCACAGTTTGAGATCCTCCGGAAACAATTGTGTAGGTGGTTACCAAAACTTCTGCTAAAGTCAAAGTCTCACTAAATTGGGTATTTAATGCTTGTGCTTTGAACTAGTATTTTGTCATAGCATTCCATAATATGTCTCCCTCTCTGCATCATCAACTTCATCGCGCTGACCCTTAGACACTAAGCGGAGCAGAACCCTGAGAAACATTCTCCAATTAGATTTTTCCCATAATCACGATTATTGGATATACAGGGTAGCAGAGATGTAAGTGACTAGTTTGTATCTTTAATATCTGTGGGGTGAAATAAAATACGTCCATTTCTTTCATCTAATCTTTTATGGAAACTTAGAAATTATATCTGGAAAATAATATCAGACAAATATCCGCCTTTACATTTTCCATCACTTTTTGGTAGGTTTCAGGGGGAATGTTCTCAATGCGTCTCGTACTATTGTCCTTCAGCTGTTCTACAGTATTTGGTTTGGCATAAGCCCTGTTTTTCAAAAATCCTCATGAAAAAAGGTAGAAGCCGTTAAACCCGGTGACCTTGATGGCCACTTGACATCACCAAATCGAGAAATTAAAAGTCCCGGAAATATTGTTCGCAAAAGATTTATTGTTTCCCTAGCTGTGTGACAAGTTGATTCGTCCTGCTGGAACCACATGTTTTGCAGGTTAAATTGTTGAATTGGAGGGGCCAGAAAGTTTTGCACCATATCACGGTAGCGCTGTCCAGTGACAGTCAGAGAATTACCCGCAGCGTCTTCAAAGAAGCAAGGTCCAATAACACCTCCAAACTGTGGCTCGACGAGGATGTAGTGGTCGTTGATGGATGACACGACGGTTCTCTAATGGCCGGATACGACAATTCTGCTTATTAACAAATTCATATCGAAGTGAACTTCATCGCTCTTTATCAGTTGTCGGTAAAAATCGTTATTTTCGGCATTAAGCTGCAATGTTGGACGACCGTATTGTCGGCGACTTTCATAGACACTAGGCTGTAGTTCCTGGGTTAACTGAATTTTGTATGGCCGCAAATGCAAGTCTTTCTTTAAAATAGTGCATAATGACGTGCGACGAATACCCAGTTTTTGAGAACTATGTTTGGTAGCTGGCGCTCTACTACACTACACTTGCACGAACTTTCTCGATATTTTCCGCAGTACGAACAGTTCGAACACGGCCCTTGACAAGTCTTTAACTTCACCTGTTTGTTCAAACTACCACACCAACTGACGAATGGTGTTGACACTGGGCACATTATTTCAACCGAAATTGTTGCAATAATCGACTCATTATTTAAGTAAAAGGTTTTAACAATACGGACGCGTTGTGGGATCGTGTAGCGCACCATGATGAATTGGACACATGTATTTAAACAACTAGTACGGCGCCACCTACTGAAATGCTTGTATCAAAAATGACGCGCAATTTAAATCAGTCCGTTATATATTGGCCACCCTATATAAGCCAAAACTAGTTAAACCAATTTTGTCCGTCCCACCAACAGACGGCTAACTATATACAGCCATTTCATACTTATTGGCAATCATCAGCGCAGTCTAAGTTTGATCTTTAGATAAAACAATGAACGAAGGCAAGGTATCCACTAGGTATAAGGCCTTTCCACCGGGCAAAGTGCCATCTACAATAACAGCAGCTATTTATTGGAACTGTCAAGTATCTCTATTCAATGTGAAGTCGATCGTCATCTACTGTATCGTCACAATTGAAGGCATCAGGTGGACTCAGTGGTGACTTGGCTTTCGACGCGAACTGGGAATAGCTTACAGTTCCAATAGATAGCTGCTCATCACTTTTGCAGTGGTCGATTCTGGTAATAGATGGTAAATCAAAAGATTGCCCGGTATTAACTCGGTGCAAATAAGTTTAAACATTTTTTAGACAAATTTAAAAAAAATTGTTTTTGCTCCGACTAAATTTTTCAGAACAAAGGAGGACCTTAGTACGAGGGATGTCTTTTAAGTTTTGCATATGGAAATAAAACAACACGGTAGGTAGTTTTAAATGACTTTATTGTCTTTCGAATTATTCTCCACGAAGATTAATACACATCTGCATGCGCTCGAACCCATTTTCGAAGCCCTTGTTCCACTCGTTTGCTGGCAGATCCAAAACGGCATTTTTGAATGCGTCAACTGCTTCTTCTGGTGACTGGAACCTTTGACCACGCAGTCTGTTTTTAATTTTCGGGAAAGTAAAGAAATCGTTAGGACTTAGATCGGGACTATATGGAGGATGGTCCAATAAATAAACGTTTTCTTCCGTTAAATACTGCCTTGTTTTTGGGGATGCGTGCAGCTTGCATTGTCTTGGTGGAGGATGATTCTTCTTTCGGGGTTGATTTTTCGAAGCTCGGTGATGACTTTTGGCAAACAAATGGTGGTATATCAATCCGCAGTAACAGTTCTTTGCTCATTACGAGGAATTGTTGCAATATGACCAGCTTTTGACACAAATGTCGCGACCATCTTTTTCGAAACACTTCGAGAACGGATGACTTTTGTTGGCTTTTCTTCACCTTGGAACACTCAAACAGCCGACTGTCGTTTATTTTCTGGTTCATAACAGTAAATCCACGATTCATCACCACTAACAATGCTGTACACATTTTTTGAGTTTCCGGAATTGAAATGGTCAAGCGTTTTTTCACACCAATTAACCCTGGCTACTTGCTGCTCTTCAGTCAACAGGTGGGGTATCCAACGAGAAACTAATTTTCTTACTCCTGATTCTTCATGTAAAATTTTTTTAACCGATGTCTTTGAGATCTTCAAGGACGCCTCAATCTCGCGATATGTCACATGTCTATCTTCAATGATGAGTTTGCGCACAGCATCGACGTTTTCCTGGGTGACTGCCGTTTTTGGTGCACCCACCCTGGGATCATCGCTAAGACTCACCCGCTCACGTTTGAATTCTTCATACCAACGGGAAATTGTCGACCGATGTGGCGCTTCGTTGGCGAAAACAGACAGTAACTCAGCAAGGCATTCTTGTTGCGATAATTGTCTCTGAAAGTTGTAATAAATTATGGCGCGAGTTCTATTTTTCTAATGACTTGGTGACACTTAAAAATTCACTGTATTGTGAAACTTTGAATTTAAGTTTACTAAAGACTGAGGTTAAGATTCAGTACTGACGTTCGATCCGCGCGGCTTACTATGTTTCTATATGCAAAACTTAAAAGACATCCCTCGTAATCTATCTGTAAAGTTGAAAACATTTTTGACTCAATTTGGGACTAGTAACGTGTAGATTCTTTGAAAGGACACTTTCTGAATAAGACTATGCAAAAGACCGGAGCAGAATATTTTTTTGACCAATGCGGAGATACTTTCTGGAGTAACATCGCAATCATCTTTCACGAAATAGCAACACGATGTTGAACGTCATTGTATCCCTTTATATTTTATTCGCCTTGTCTAACTGTTGTTACTGTATGAGCGATTTATATATGAATAACGATCTGACATAGAGTAATATTCATTGATCCGTGTTGTGTGTCGCGCATACATCATCTCTAAAATTTCATCGTTTCGTTAATGAGCGGGAACTCATTAATGTTACCACTGATTCGGCCCACCTGTCCCACATCAAAAGGATTATCGTTAAATTTGTGAATTACGGGAAACAGCTAAACAGCTGAATACAGCTCCGGATCTTCTCATTATAATTGTGTGTTCATTAGCTTCAAGATTTATTTTTATTCTGAGCTACAGTACTGCAACACCCATCTTTATACCGAGTGTTTAAAATTCCGCTCTCACTGTTGGAATTTTTACACAGGGGAATAGTTGTTTCCAATTCTGATTAAAAAAAATGTATAATATACATTGGCATTGCCAAACCGTAGTTATTTGAAAAATGACAATATAGTTCATTTTGGCACAATTTAATCGGTATGGATTAGTTATATTTGAATGCAAAATGTGTGCATCGGTATAGATATGGCGGATGAGAAATGTGCTTTGAAACCTGCAACATCGCTGAGGCTTTTTACGCTAAAATGTTTTTCAAAACTGTTCTCTTTTACTACTACCCTTAAGTAATATGTAAAAGTTATCTTAGGAGCGTTGTTCTTTATTCGATGGGCTGAGCGCAGCAGATTATTTTTCTAGACATTTGTACTTTCATAATATTAATCTTTTTCATATCTACAGTATCACATTAAAATCGAAAATAGGGATTTTTTGCCTCGTAGATAAAAACTAAATGAAAGCTTGGCTGATGATATTATGAAACAAACAACTAAACAACTATCTGGTAATTTCAAGGTTTCTCAATGTCAATGTATGACACATTTTAGGAATCCGATTTAAATACTCAATAAACAAGAGGCGAAAACCTCATACTGAAATTCTAATTATGACATCTTGTATGGAATACAAGGTGGCAATATAAGTTTGTAGATCATTTTGAAAACCCGCCTCAAATAACGTCAGAAAAAAATAAAAACGTTTTTGGGATAATTCTATTTTTTGCCTACCTCCGGAAATACTCTGAATTTCGGTACCTTCTAAATTTAATTTTTTTATACCGAGTGGCCAATATATAACTGACTGATTTAAATTGCGAGCTGTTTTTGATACACGCATTTCACTAAGGCCCATATCGTCAGTCGTCCCTACAATTGTAAGGCGCGTTTATGGCCTCCTTGATTGTCATACTGCTTTCTTTCCTTCAAAAATGTCTAGATTACACTTGTCCCGTGTCAGCGTCAGCGCTCTCCTATTGTGAAGATATGTTTTCTTTTTAAATTGTATGAAATTTCAGGCTGATAAAACATGATATAACTCAAAAGCAAGCACAATTTGATGCAAATAGATGTTTGTGACATAACCTCAAAATAGAGTTCTGACACGGAGAAGTAGAAAACTATGACAATTAAGGAGGCCATAAAGGCGCCCTACAATTGTAGGGACGACTGACGATACGGGCCTAAGTGGCGCCGTAGTAGTTGCTTAGAGCACATGTGTCCAATTCATCATGGAGCGCTACACAATCCCA